AATCTTATAATGAACAAGCAGTCCTCATGTCTGACTTTCCCTAGTGAAAGACATTATTATACTGGACAATAAACAAACCTGCGCTGTGCTCCTGAAAGATCTCTCTCTCTTCCAACGCTATACCATACAAAACAACTCTAAAAAGCTAATATTGAATAAAATCAGCCAATGCCTCTGCTTACAAGGTATGAAGAAGTGCAAGAAACTCATGGAAAATTGTTTCCCAGAAGAAGAAGCCAGAAACTCTGGGTATTAATTTCTAATGAAAAAAAAAAAAAAACCTGTAACCCACAAGACACCAGTAATACCAGTGGTACCAGTGAGATAATTTGAAGTAGCCCAAATGTGTTCCATATGCCTTTCATTCTTGATCCCCAATAACCCACCACATAGGCAACTACTGATAATAGTATCCTTCTAGAAACATTCTGCAATGCTTGTTTCCATACCCATATTGGAAAATGTCACAATTTCTAGGGCACTGGATGTGATACAGAGAAAAGCCTTGCCTCATGCATGTTACATTTTGGATAAGTGTCTTTCAAAGGCCCATGTGCTGGCTTAGTTCCTAGTATGTGGTGTTACTGGAAGGTGGTGAAACTTTCAGGAGGTAGAACCTAGCAGAAAAACGTTAGCGTTCATTGGGGATTAGCACTAAAAAGGAATAAGGGACCCTGGCCCCTTCTGCCGCCCTTTACTTCCCAGTCATCATGAGATGAATATACCTCATCCACCACACAATCCTGCCATGATGTATGGTGCCCTCATAGACCCAAAACAACAAGGCTGGCAAACCATTGCCTCGAAAATCATGAATCAAAATAAACCTTACCTCCTATAAGTTGTTTATCTCAATTACTTTGTCATAATTATGAAAAGCTGACCAACACCTCAGCAGTGGGGGCTAATTAGCTAGAGAGTCAATAATGCTCAGATCCAACTGGACAAAAGCAAGATCCAAAAGATTTAAACTTTGTATGTACCTTAACAGCACGCTAGAACAAAGCTCAGGAATATTTTTAGGAATATAAAAATATTTAGCACCCAACAAACAAAAATTCACATCCAGTGTGTAGTAAAAAATTACCAGATGTGTTAAAAAATACAAACCATAAAGAGGAGAAAAATCAATCCATTGAAACCAATTACAACTGACAATGATTTTTGGATTAGTAGAGAAGAATATTGTAATAGCCTGAGTCTATTTCATATGTTCAAAAACATGATCTAGAGAAATAAAAGACAAAGAGACCCAAATTGAACTTCTAGAGATGAAAAGTACATTGTGTAGGATGAAAAATACAGTGCATGGAATCAACAGATTAGGCATGAGAGAAGAAAATAAGTGATTTTTTAAAATGCCATTCATTTTGATTTTTTTGTTCTTTTTAGGTACACGACGTAGAGTGTAATTTGACAATTAAAATTATACTCATTTTAATTAGGATCCTACTTTGTTGTTGTACATGATGTGGAGTTTCACTGGTTGGTATTCATATATGAATATAGAAAAGTTTGTCTGATTCATTCTACTATCTTTTCTATTCTCATACCCCTCCTTTCCCTTCATTCCCCTTGTCTAATTCAATGAACTTCTAGTCTCCTTCCATCCTTATTGTGTTCGACATCTGTAGCAATTAGAGAAATGCAAATTAAAACTACATTGAGAGTCCATCTCACTCTAGTCAGAATGGCAATTATCAAAGAATACAAATAACAATAAATGTTGGTGAGGATGTGGGAAAAAGGTTCATTCATACATTGCTGGTGGGAATGCAAACTGGTGTAATCATTCTGGAAAGCAGTATGTAGATTCCTCAGGAAACTTGGATTGGAACCACTATTTGACCCAGTTATCTCACTCCTTGGTATATACCCAAAGGACTTAAAATCAGCATGCTACAGTGATGGCAACATCAATGTTTAGAGAAGCTCAAAAATTCTCCTCAAATTGGTCTAAAGTTTCAGTGCAATTATTCACAATAGCTTAGCTATGGAACCAACCTAGGTGCCCTTCAACAGATGAATGGATGAAAATGTGGTATAAGTACATAATGGAAAAAAATGTGGTATAAGTACATAATGGAATATTACTCAGCCTTAAAGAAGAATGAAATTATGGTATTTGCCAGTAAATGGATGGAACTGGAGACTATCATGCCAAGTGAAATAAACGAATACCCCCCAAAAACAAAGTCTGAATGTTCTCTCTGATATGTGGATATTGACACACAATAAGGGCGGGGGGAAGGATAGAAGTTTGTTTAATTAGACAAAGGGAAATGAAAGGAAGGAAGAGGTAATGGGAATAGGAAAGACAGCATAATGTATCTGATATAACTTTCCTATGTTCATATATCAATGCACCACCAGTGAAACTCCACATCATGTACATCCGCAAGAATGGGATCCTAATTAGAATAAGTTGTACTCTATGTATGTCTAATATATCAGAATACACTGTACTGTCATGTATATCTAAAAAGAACAAAAATTGTGAAAAAAAAATGAATCTAGCTGCTAGGGATATAGGTCAGTGGTAGAGTACCCACCTAGCATGTATCAAGGCCCTGGGGTCCATCCCCAGCAGTGCCAAAAAAAAAAAAAAAAAAAAGGTTCATGCAGACTGGAGGGGTAAGAAAGTGCTTCATTTTTACATGGAATGGTACAATGTCAACTTTAAGCAAACTGCAAAAAGTTAAAGACATATCATTTTTTGAGCAACTACTGCAGATTAATTCAGTGAATAAACTGCATATTAATTCCTTGAATAAGTGTTTCTGGTGCTATTTATAACTAAGGGTAAAATAACTTAAAATTATACTTTCAGAGTCTTTTAAGAACCTAGAGCAGCAACAATAACTCAGGAAATGTCATTTAGAGGAGGGGAAAAGTGTACTATCTACAAAATTTATTAAAAGGTGCCTAGGAACAAACCTAAAAAGAATGTGTAAGCTTTTTATGGTGAGAATTATAAAACTCTGCTAAAGACACTTAGAAATTTAAATAATTAGAGCTATATAATGTTCCTGAATAGGGAAGGGCCACTGTATCATAAAGAAAATTCTCCCCAAATTGATCTAAAGTTTCAGTGCAATTATAATTAAAATTCTAAAGGGAGTATTAGTTCTAAAAGGGAATGTAATTACAGAAAGTAAATGTGTGGATACTGATAGGGCAAGGGTTGCGGGGGAGGAGGGAGAAGGGAGAAATTACAAATGTCAAGAGAAGATTTTTAGAGTGATATGTATATTATATTGTTTATGGTTTCACAGGTGTATTCATATGTCAAGTGGTACACTTTAAATAGATGAAGTTCACTATATGTCAGACTTCAGTAAAGCTGTTTTTTAAGTCAACAAAACAAAAAAAGGGTTTTAGAAACATATATACAGATGTACATCTGTATTATAAATTACAAATAAAAAGTAAAAGAATGATAACTCAAAAAGAGAATTAGTTGGAGTGAGGGAAAGAGTGCTACTGTGAGAAAGGCACCACAGGCAGCTTGTCATGTTCTGGTATTGGTATGACTCTATTTCTGACACTGAGCCCTGGCTGTCTTAGTATCTTTCTTTAAGTTACATGCATATTTTATACAATCTATTGCATAATATTGATAAATTTCACAATTTTAAAAAAGAAAGTCAGGGGATAGGAACACAATAAATGATTAGCTTAACTACGTTCTATTGTTCCTAGAGCTGAGTTCCCTTCAAACCTTTTAAACCAACAGCTAGGATTAAGCTCTTTCATTTGATCTGGATCACTAGTTTGAAAATGGCAAACTCTTCTTATCAAAGAAGAGACAAGAAAAATCAAACAAAATCTATTGCTTACTACCCTATACATTACCCCATTTCTGCTAATAAGTAAACAATCACTGTAACCTTTCACACCCCCCTGTTGTGGTAGGCACAAGTAGTAATTAATATTTAGGCAGTACCTACCACCTGGCATAGAATTATCTTTGCACACATTTTTTTTTCCTATAAGATTATAAATTCCTCTGCTGGGTACAGTGGCCCATGCCTGTAATCCCTGCTGCACCAGGAGGCTGAGGCAGGAGGATCTCAAGTTTGAGGCCAGCCTTGCAATTTAGCAAGACCCTAAAGAAAAATGGTTGAGGATGAAGCATGATAGAGTGATAGAGAGCCTTTGGGTTCAATCCCAATTATGGGGATTATAAATTTCTCCCTTCAAAGCTGTTAATGTTTCGTTTTCTTCCATTTTTTTTTTGTTGTTTACTTGTACTGTCTATCATAAACTACTGAAATTAAAATATTAAGGCAAATTTATTGCGGTTGTTTCCATGTAACTTCGCCTGACAATATACAATTTTGCTGCTAATGGTTTTGCAGTCCCAGTCTGACCATAGCAGAGAAGGCAGGGACCTCAGGCTTCCAACAAAATAAGAACCAATCTTAGGTTTCAGTTGGAAGAGAGGAGCTAAGCTGTACTCCTGGCTTGGTTCTTGCCATCTATTCAGCTGTTTGGGATGAGCTGCACATCTTGTCGGCCACTTCAAGTTTTTAATCAAGAGATCTTGGAAGAATGGTGCCGACTTCACTTTCTACAGCAGGTATCTTAGAACACTGTTTTGGATTCTTTGCATGCTAGTTTTTAATACTTCCTTGGGCCCGTACGCCTTATGAATCCTCTTAACACTATAGAGTATTTGGCATCTGCATAACCTGCGTCCTAACCTCCAGGCGCCGTCCCGCGGTCACTGACACAAGGAAGGGAATACTACTAACACATACATTCGGAAGGTCTTAAATTTCCCTTAAGAGGGTGTAGAATGTAAGGCTCAGCCCGGAGTCTTACAACCGCTATCCCACGCCTGAGAAAAGGTCACGCCCCCTGCAGACAACTACACCGGGTCTTTAATCGACCCGCCGCCGCCTTCCCGCCTCCCTCCGGGACGCGCACTTCCGGCCGCGAGGGTGTTCGGGAGCGCGCGCAGCGAGCTTCCACCAATCAGAGGCCGCGTCTGGTCGGCCCGAGTGCGCGCGCGCACATTTGTGCGCAGGTTCGAATCTCCGCCGCTTCGCGGTTGCTGCCCAACGTCCGGGCCGCACCTCTGAGGCGGCTAAGGCCGCGCAAGAGGGCGACACTCTACTCTACCCGGGCAGCCCCGCCCCCTTCCCCTCGCCACCTTCCAGACGCAGCATAATCCGGTCGGCCTTGCCCTCTCTCGCGCGTCCCGCGCTCCGCCCTGCGACTATCGGGGCTGGGTCCCGCGCCCGGCCGTCTCCGCCCGAACCCTTAGGCCCATGGCCAAGCGGCGTGCGGCTGAGCCTCTGACGTTCCACGTGCCTTGGAAGCGGCTCCTGCTCTGCGACTTCACGGAGGAGCCGCCGCCGCCGTCGCCGATTTGGATCCCGCCGTCGGGGCCCTCGCATTCTGGGCTACCGCGAAAGCGCAAAATCGACGCAGGGGCCATGTCAGAGCCTTCGGCTTCGCCCAGCAAGCGCCGCGACAGCGGGGACAGCAGCGCCCCGAGCGGCGGGGAGCGTGAGGGCCGCGGCCTGGAGACGGGGGAGCCACCGCTGCCGCTGCTGCCGGGAGGGCCCCGGGGGCCAGGGGAGGAGCCCCGGGACGTCCAGCCCCCGGGGGGCGGTGGTGACGACGGGGCGGGGCGCACAGGGTCCCCGCGGGAAGACTGGGGGGCCACACCGCTCCAGGTAGGGGTTGGGGGCTGGTGGGAGAAGGTCTTCCCCTTTTCCTAGCCACTGCGCGCCCAGAAAGGAACGGATCCCCCACCCTCAAGTTGGGTCCGTTAACACCCCCTAAAAGGCAAAAAGCCGGGTCTCGGGCAGCACGCGGCGCCCAAAGCCCGCCTTGGCAGTATAGGAGGAGTCTGAGAGGAACACTGGTAGACCAGGTGGAGGTAGCATCTGCCAGGGCACTGCAGGAGAAGTGGAAGCGTGGGCCTGGGCAGGCTGTAGACGTTGACTGAACCAAGGGGTGCAGCTCAACGACAAACGTCAGGGAAAGGGAGTGCTCGCCCTCGTAGGGTTAACCAGGAAGAGAATCTGTGACCGGAGGCAGAGTGGTCGGCTGGGAGCCATCTGTTAATTGGGCATGTTGGAGGCTTGGTACAGCCCTTTGGGCTGAGAGGAAGTCCTTTTGTATCTTTGGAAAACCCTTTTCTAACTGTTCAGTGTTAAACCCCATCATATGAAGACGGATTGTTGATATTTGTGCATCAAAGTAAAGCATTTATGAGAATCACGGGGAAGTTTTCCCTTTTTCGCTTCTCTGCATCAAAGAATCCTTAAAAGATCTGATTTGCCAGATAGCCCAGCCTCTAGTTGTGTGATCCTATGAAATACTAGAAATGTGACTAGTTCAAAACAATGTGTGCTGCTATACGTGCAACACATGAGATTTTTGAAGATTTAGTAAGAAAAAGATAAACTATTGATTACTCAAGAAATGATTTATATGCTATTAAGGTATATTAATTTCATCTTTTTCTTTTTTAGTATAACTACTAGGAAATGTTTATTTTATGGCTCATGTTATCTGTTGGGAACTTTGATCTAGATTTAGGAATTTGCTTTTTCCCAGTTCTGGGATGACTTACTAGGGGAGTTGTCCCCGGTGGAAGAATCAAGTTTAGGGGCTCAGAATTCATCAGTCTTCAACCACTACAGTATAGTATCTACTCAACTTTGTTCTGTGGGCTTAAATGTTTTGGACAGAGTTGATTAACTACCTTGCAGGATTTAAAAAAAGAAAAATGCATTTCCTTTGTTCAAATTTTATAGTTAGGAAAGATTATTTTTTCCTGTGAGAGAAATTATCTTTTAGACTTAATCACTATGATCACCATTTCTGAATGAAATTAGAAATTGTAAGTACTTCTACTTCAGTTTTCTTAGAATTTAGAATAAACATCAGCCTTATTTAGGCTTTTTTCTTCAAAATGCTTTTAGATGTTCAGAATCCCCTTCCTTAAAACAATGAGTCATCCAGACCTGTTGGTTATGGAGATAGGTCCTTTGTAGTTAAAAATCATACTCTTGAGATGATTGTTGGGACCCCACCCATATGAAGGCTTGTCTTTCCTACCACAATGTGGTATGTGCCATCTGCCATAGAACTGATAAGAGGGAAATACGAAAATAACAGGCAAAAAAGTAGAGTGACATAAAGACACTTGCTTAGAATCTCCTAGAAACAGCTAGTTGTGTTACACAATTGACTAGATCCGGCAGTGCTCAATTTCCATTAGTTGCTGCAAGCTCATGGAAGGAAGAAGTTTGTCTCCTGGGATTTCTTCTTCACTGAGACTGGTCTCCTGTCGCTTTTTCTTTGAGCAAAAACCTGGAACATTCAAATTCCTTTTGTTAAGTCTCTTCCTTAGGCTGCATCTCTTCTGCAAATCTAAGAGATGGATGTGCTTTTTTCTGCCTCCCTCTTAACTTTTTGCTTCCAAAGACCCAGGCTTATTGTTTTAAGGGTATTATAGCTTATTACAAGGGAAAATAGCAAAAAACATGGAGATGGAAAAAGCTTGTTCAGTTCAATGTAATAACTGCCTGGTTTCTGTTGGTGAGAATAAAGCTTAAGTTCCTATCCTCACCCCTGGGGTCTCATTTAGAAAATACTACTTCATATACCTTCTTTCTAAATCAAAGATGCAATACCAGCAGAATAAGGCACTTCTTTGAGGGGGGGTAGGGTACTGGCAATTGAACCCAGGGACATTTTGCCACTGATCTTATTAATTTTGAGACAGGGTCTCCCTAATTTGCTTTGGGTGTTATTGCGTTTCTGGGGCTGGTCTCAAACCTCTGTCCTCCTGCCTTGGCTTCCCGAGTTCCTGGGATTACAGGCATGGGTCACTGTGTGCAACAAGGTACTTCTTTTCTGTGCTGAAACCTTAGAATATTTCCTACATTGGTTTCAGATATAGTTTTTATTGGAGAACTTAAAAAGTCACATATTAAGTATACATATTTTTCATATTAGTGTCATTTTAGGCAAATTCATTGCTCTATCAGTGTTGACTGTTATAGCTGTTTTAACAGTAAGCGAATGTTTCACTAAGGAGAAGGTGATTAACGTTTTATATTCATTTGGGGAATGTAATACCTAGCAGTATTGAGCAATAACTGGGCTACCTTTAAATTCCCACAATGGTCCTACTCCAAAGTTACCAGTGAAATCAAGTTCAGAGTTATCCAAACCCAGGTCTGTGTGGTGGCAAAGTTTGTGCTTTTATCCTCTAGGTTCTACTGATAAAGTTGATAATTTTAACAATGGATTTTCCAAAAGAGAACTAGAACTTTAACCTCATTTTATTGAAGTGAAAGTTTATAAATTTTTGACTTGTTACATCTTTATCCCAATATTAAGAAATTCCCCAAAGGCTTCATTCTTTAAGCCTTAAATTTTAAGGCACAGGATGAACTTCCCTCTGAGACTTTCTTGTAAACTTGTGCTCTCCAGTACAATAATCCTTAAATACCCATAGCCAACAAGCATTGGAAGTGTGGCTGGTCTGAATAGTGCTGGAAGTATAAAATGCATGCCAGGTTTGAAAACCTAGAAAGGATGTATTATATTAATTTAAAAAATATTGGGTATGTTAATGTTTTAGATATACTAAGTCAAATAAGATGTTAAGGTAGCTGGGCATGGTGGTGCCTGCCTATAATCCCAGCATTTTGGGCAGCTGAGTCAGGAGGATCACAAATTCAAGGCCAACAGCAACTTAGGTCTTGTCACAAAATAAAATGGACTGGGAATGTCTTTCAGTAGTAAAGCACCCTTAAGTTTAATTCCCAGTACCAAAAATATTATAAAAAAGATATTTAGATTATTTCCCCTGGTTCTTTCTTTTTTGGCTTTGGTTACCAGAAAATTTTAAAGTACATATGTAATTCCCATGATATTTTTGTTAAGACAGTGCTGCTATAACAAATATAAACTTGAAATAAAAGCACAACATAGTAGAATATATTTGGATATTGATCTGAGAATGGTGTTAATTTTCAGAATTATGACCATGTAAGCCTTCATGTAATTCCAGTGCCACTTTCTTTATACAGAGTATTTTGGGGATGCTTAAAATTCTGTGCCAATTTTTAACTTCAATTACTTGGATTAATTTTTTAGTCATTTAGAGTAAGCTACTAAATTTTTAAGAGGCCATCACTCATTTGGATTGATAAATTTTGATATATTGATTTAAAAGTTATACCTTCTATGAAAGGATATCTTTAATGATCAACTTAACATTTTCTTTCTGTTCACCATGTTTATATCCTACACTGCTTTAAAACACCAAACTTCAGAATAAAGACCAAAAATAAGTTATAAGGGTGTGTGTGTATAAAATCTTATTTTTCTTATTAAATTTAAAATTTAAGATCATTTTTAGACATTTGATGGGGGTACCAGAGATTGAACCCAGGGGTGCCTAACCACTGAGCCACATTCCCTGCCCTCTTTTTTATATTTTATTTAGAGAAAGGGTCTTGCTGAGTTGCTTAGGGTCTTGCTAAGTTGCTGAGGCTGGCTTTGAACTTTGATCCCCCTGCCACAGCCTCCTGAGCTGCTGGGATTACAGGCATGCACCACTGCACTCTGCCAAACATTTTCTTTGGATGAAAAATTAGAAAATTCTAGAAAGCTATTTGTGGATGAAATTTTTTAAAATTTACACTATTAGCAAATACTTTCACAACCCATAAATATTAAAATGTGCAGATTTAATTGAATACATGAAGTATTTTCATTAGACAAAATTTAAAATGCATACATTTAAAATGCAAAGTGAAGTACTACAAGGTCTATTGAGTTTGCTTTTTTAAAACAAGGAAATTTGTTTCTTGGGGGGGAAACCTTCTGAGTTACTGGTGTGTTTTTGTCTCTTTTTCTTAAAGCACAATGAAGAATTTTGGCAGTATAATACTTTCCAGTACTGGAGAAATCCTTTACCACCTATTGATCTGTCAGACATCGAAGATGTGAGTGAAAACAACCAGACAGAAGCAACACTTGAGGGCAAGAATGAAGTGGTTGAGATTGACATGGAGTCCTGACATAAAGAGCTGAAGAAATGGGATTTCCTGAATTTGAGGAGACATCTCTTAAGTGAATTCATGTATTTTTTAGGAAAAAGTTGTTTTCCATACTTGATGTAGTATCATTTCCAAACCTGAAAAATGAGGAAAGGTTGTTTTGAAGATAAATGCCTGTAGTTGCTACTGACCTACTAATAGGGATTTGTCAACAATATAGCAGAGTGATAGGCAAAATATTTATGTATATATTTTTAAAGAAGCAAGTTTTGTTTAGGTTCTGACTTTTAAGAAACTGACCTTACAAAAAAGGATTCTAGAAGTTTTAGGAATGCATGGAAAATACTCAAATCTTTCTCTCATCTGCACCAAAAAGTTTGTGGCTCATGAATATCATTTTATAATAACTTATTAATAAAATAATTTCTAATACATCTTACTGACTCTTCTTAGTTGAACAAATAACTGACTTGAACATCTATGCAAACTTAAAATGTGGGGGTTCTTTGAAAGGTAGTATTGTTTTTAAAGTTTTGTAAAAATGAAAAGTAGTGAGAATTTCAATTTGGGTTTAAATAACTTCCAATATTTGATATTTGTTGAACTCTGCTATGGTTAGTCAAAAATGGATAAAGAAAAGTGAAAAGTAAGTCAGCGCCTGGTCACCTCCTCCTTTTCCAATATAAAAGGAAAGAAATTTATCATGACCACTTTGTTGGTTTTGAATTGATTTGAGGGCACGGTTTTTTATTGCTTATTACTTTAGACCTGTAGTTCTCAACACTGACAGCACTTTACAAATCTTTGCCTGGGCCCCATTTTAGAGATGCTCAATTATTCTGAGGTGGCCCTTAGATATTACTATTTTTTTAAACACAACTTTCTTTCCTCCATTTCTTTAATGTGCATACAGGGTTGAGAACCACTAGATCAATGTTAGTATTCCTGTTTAAAGGAAATTACTAATTTGAACTGAAGCAATGCCTGTTAATTAGCTTTGTTTTCATTATTCTCCATTGATGACTTTGTCACAAGTAATTTAACACTTTTCATTGTTAAAAAAAAAAAGCAATTTGTTTTGTAGTTAAGTATCAATGACTAAGTTAATTAACATTTGTACTGCATCCAGAATGTTGGCTTTGTAATTTAGTAACTTGTCCTTACTTGTATATTTTTTTGTTGGTGATGACAGTAAATCCAAAATTCAGAAAAGGTAGTAAATGCTAGAGGGAAAATTTTTGACATTTTGTATGTACTGCAATATGTAAATATGGGTTGACAATAAGAACAGAAGACAGTGTCTGTCATTGTGGTTAGAAATGGTTTTAAAGACTGTACTGCCACTTTCTACCTATGTAGCATTAAACAAGTTATTTTTCATCTCTAAGCCTCAGGTTTCTAACCTGTAAAATGAGAAATAATAAATAGTATCTACCTCGTACTGCTTATTGTCAAGCAATGTTCTAAGTACTTTCCATGAATCATCTTGTTTGATTTTCAACCTTATCTTAAGGTAGATTGAAAAGATCATTAGAATAATGGTAGTTTGTTCATTTCACTTGTACTGTTATTCAAAGTTTGGTAAGAAGTGAAATTGTGGAAAAAAATAAAACGGGAAGTTTTTTTCCCTTTTGTTTAACTCTGAGTGTAGGAAAATGTATCTATTTTGCCAACTATTGTATTCCTAATGCCCAAAACAGTGTCAGGCACATAGTAGACCATATTATTCTATTAGCAAATGGACTTTCTTATCTGTTAATATAAAGTGTTGCCAATAAGTTTGCTTCTTTGAATATATCTTACAAAACTAGGTTATTTGCCCAAAGATGTGTATATAAAAAGTTTGGTTTTTTTTTTTTTTTTTGGTCAGGAGAGATCAAATAGTAAAGTGTTAAAAATAATCTAAATTCTGCATGATGGTAGGAAAAAAATCCCTATGATGGGATTCTGTCATTTGAAATGTACTGACTGGAAAGAGCTTCAAGAAATATTTTGTAGATGATAAGAACAATTTCAGAGTAATACATAGTGAATTCATTAAAATATGCACACAAAATAAGACAGAAGGAACATAATAAATTAACTCTAGAAAAAAGTTGACATTTCTGAGGATAATGGGATAAGGAGTACTTTCACATTTCTATAAACTTTTGTGCCATTTTAGCAGCTTTGTTGACTTGTGGTTAATATGCAATTCACCCATTTGAAGTGTATAATCCAATGGCTCTTAGTATATTTAGGTATCTAACCATTAGGGTCAATTCTAGAGCATTTTCATCACATAATAAATTTTATAACTATTAGTAGCCATTCCACATACCTTCCAGCTCCACTTGTTGGCCCAAGGCAATTACCTACTTTCTATATTTTTAAATTGTTTTTATGGCTAAATGGAGTCCTGTTGTATATATATGGTTGATTTTTATATCTTCATTTTTGTGACTAGTGCTACAATAAACACAAGACTGTAGATATCATTAGCATACTGATTATTTTTCCTTTGGATGTGTAACCAGTAGTGGGATTGCTAGAACATAAGATAGTTCAATTTTTTCCACATTTTTTATTGGTGCACAATAGTTGTACATAATGGTGGAATTTGTTGTTGCATACTTGTACATACATATTATATAGTGTATGTATAATGTATACAATATCATTCTCCAGTATTTCTTCTTTTCCCTCCAATTTTCTCTCACTCTGGTCTCTTGTACTTTAATCTCCCATTTTTATGAGATCCCTCCCCCATTTTACTTCTTTTTCTTCTTTAGTGTCCACATGAGAGAAAACATGACCCTTGACCTGAGTTTGCTTAATGTTCTAAAGTATATCCATTTTCCTGCAAAAAGCCATAATAATTTTTTAGTTGTATATGGGCACATTACTTTTATTTATTTATTTTATGTGGTACTGAGGTTCGAACCCAGTGCCTCACACATGCTAGGCAAGTGCTCTACCACTGAGCTACAATCCCAGCCCCATAATTTTATTCTTTATAGCTGAATAAAACTTTTGTGTATATATACCACATGTTCTTCATGCATTGATGGACAACTAGGGAGGTTCAATAGTTTGTTATGAATTGCTGCACTGAACATAGGTGTGCCTCTATCACTATAGAATGATGACTTCAAGTTTTTAGGATAAATGCTGAGAATTGGTATAACTGGGTTGTATGGTGGTTCTATTCCTAGTCTTTTCAGGAAACTCCATAGTGGTTATACATAATGTACAGTCCCACCAGAAATGTAATAAATGTCTCTTTCTCTATATCATCTTCAGCATTTATTATTGTTTGTATTCTTGATGGCTGCCATTCTGACTGGAATGAAATGAAATCTCAGGGTAGGGTAGATTTGATTTGCATTTCCTTAATTGCTAATGATGTTGAATATTTTTTCATATATTTGTTGGCCGTTTGTATTCTTTTGAGAAGTTTTTGTTTCATTCATTTGCTCATTTGTTAATTTATTTTAGTTCTTTATATATTCTGGGTATTGAAACTCTCCCTGAAGAGTAGCTAGGAATGATTTTTCCACCATTCTGTAGGGGTTCTCTTCACATTAGTATTTGTTTCCTTTGCTGTGCAGAAGCTTTTAAATTTGATGCCATCCCATTTATTAACTCTTGGCATTTCCTGGGCTTTAGAGGAAGTCATCCTATTTGTTGGAATGTTTTCTTACAGAAATTGTATAGTTTCTGGTCTAAAGCATAGGTATTTGATTTTGTTGTTGTAGGTGGACACAATGTATTTATTTTTATGTGGTGCTGAGGATCAAACTCAGTGCCTCACATATGCCAGGCGAGTGCTGTACTACTGAGCCACAGCCACAGCCCTGGCATTTGATCCATTTTGAGTTGAATTTTGTGAAGGGTGAGAGATAAGAGTCTAGTCTCATCCTTCCACATATGGATAACCAATTTCCCAGCATCATTTGTTAAAAAGACTGACTTTTCTCCAATGTGTGTTTTGGGCCCTTTCATCAAGGATCAGATGAGTGTATCTAAGTGGGTGTGTCTCCGTGTCTTCTAATGTACCATTGGTCTATATGTCTGGTTTTATGGTAGTGCAATGCAATTTTTATTCTTTATTTTTCCATTACATTTTTAAGAATTTGAAGTCATGCAGACTGTGTTTCCTGCATGATTTATTACATTAGAAATCAACCACCTTAAGATATACAGACCCCATCCCAACATGTCAACTATTTCAAAATTAAATGGTACAATTATAAGTGTCTCAGAGGTCAAGGAAGCACCAAAAAAAGTAAGTAAAAAGTGCTTTGAACGAAGTGATAATAAAAGCTTAAAATATCAGGATTTCTGGGATGAAACAGTATTCAGATGAACATTTTAACAAAGTACTTGCATCAGAAAGAATAAAATAACAACCATATTTCAAATTATGTAGTAGGAAGGAAAAAATAAGAGTAGGAGCAGAAATATATGAAATAGAGAAGAAATAGCTAAAATTTGATAAGTCTAATCAAGGTAAAAAATAACAATGGAAAGGGACCTATCAAAATAACTCTACATTGTGGCTCAGTGGTCAAGTGCCTCTGAGTTCAATCCCTGGTACCAAAACAAAAACAAAACAACAGAAAAACATCCTACAGATGCTAAAAATATATTAAGGTGACATTACAATTGTATGGCAACATCTGTGATAGCTTATATAACATGGTCTATATTAGAGAAGGATCCATGTGCTGCTGAGATAAAAGTGTATTCAGTCATTGATGGATGAAATATTCTGTATATGTTAAATCTAAATTATCAATTGTAGTTTTTACTTCTATAGCTTTTTTATTTAGTTTTTGTTTGGAGGCTCTATCCAGTGGTGACAGAGGCATGTTAAAGTTAACCAGTACTACTGAGTTGTGGTCTATTTGATTCTTGAAATTGAGAAGGGTTTGTTTGATATATGTAGATGCTCCATTGTTTGGGGCATAAATATTTACAATTGTTAGGTCTTGTTGATGTATAATTCCCTTAAGCAGTATGAAATGGCCTTCTTTGTCCCTTCTAAGTAACTTTGGCTTAATGTCCACTTTATCTGACATGAGGATAGAAACCCCTTCATGTTTACATGATCCATGTGAATGATATGCTTTTTCTCATCCTTTCACCTTTAGTATGTAAATGTCTTTGCCTATGAGATGAGTCTCTTGGAGACAGCATATTGTTGGGTCATGATTTTGAATTCAATCTGCCAGTCTATGTCTCTTGATTGATGAGTTTAGCCATTAATATTCAAGGTTATTATTGAGATATGATTTGTATTCCTGGTCATTTGGATTTATTTCTAGTTGTTAATTTACGTTAGTTTCTCCTTTGATTGACAATTCCTTTAGTGTAGTTCTTCCCTTTGCTAGTTTTCACTTTAAAAAATTTTTATCTTCATGGAATATTTTGTTAAGAATGTTCTATAGTGCAGGCTTCCTAGCTGTAAATTCTTTTTAACTTTTGTTTGTCATGGAATCTTTGTAATTCATCTTCAAATCTGAAGCTTAATTTTGCTGGATATAGGATTCTTGGTTGGCATCCATTTTCTTTCAGAGCTTGGTATTTGTTACTCCAGGACATCCTAGCTTTGAGTGTCTGGGTTGAGAAATCAACTGAGATCTGAATTGGTTCCCCGCTGTATGTAATTTGATGTTTTTCTCTTACAGCATTTAAAATTCTATTCTTATTCTGTATGTTAGGCATTTTCATTATAATGGGTCTTGGTGTAGGTCTGTGGTAATTGTGCACATTTGGGGGTCCTGTAAACCTCTTGTATTTGATTTTCCATGTCATTCCATAGGTTTGGGAATTTTTCTGATATTATTTCATTGAAAACATTGTGCATTCCTTTGGTTTGTATCTACACCTTCATTTATCCTGATAAATCTTCAATTTGGTCTTTTCATGTTATCCCATAGTTCTTGGAAGTTCTGTTCATGGTTTTTAAATATGTTCTCTCTGTGGTCAACTCTATTTTCATGATTATATATTTTGTCTTCATTGCCAGAGGTTCTTTCTTCCAAGTGATCTAGTCTGTTGATGATACTTTCTATTGAATTTTTTTAAAATATTTATTTCTTAATTGTACACAATACCTTTATTTTGTTTATTTTTATGTGGTGTTTAGGATCGAACCCAGGGCCTTCCATGTGCTAGGTGAGCGCTCTACTGCTGAGCCAAAATCCCAGCCCCTCTATTGAATTTTTAATTTGGTTTATTATTTCCTTCATTCTTAGGATTGGTGGTGGTTGGTGGTTTTTTTTTTTTTTTTTCCGAATCTCTGCCTCTTTATTGAAATGATTTTTCACTTCCTGTATTTTCTCTGATTTCATTTCTTTTACCATCCTTCACAGATAAGTTTAACTGTCTGCGTTCTAAACTCCTTCTCTGACATTTCTTCCACTATAGTGTTGATGAATTCTATTACTGGAGTACCTTGGTTTGCTTAGGGTGATTTGTTCCCTTGCTTTTTCATGGTGTTTGTGTGTCTATCCATCTAACAGTATGGATCTGAAGCAGTAGAGTTTCTACCTTGAGGACTTAATAGTGTCCCTCAAGGTTTCCAGTACCTCACTGTTTAGGTGGAGACAAATAATAACAACCAAACAGGCAATATACTGTATTAAACCAAATAGTTCTTACTATGCTGTCTACAATGTTAATTATCACTATTAGCCAAAATGATATGATCAGTTATTGCCTATAATAAAAACAGCAAGTTTGCAAAAGGGTTTATAAATTCAAATGGTGGACAGGGAAAGAACAGAAGTGATATAGGATGTGATGATTATGAAGGAGGAGGAGATAAGAAGTAAAAAAAATTAAAGGGTGAAAGAGAATAATAGAGGTTGGCTGTTAGTGGAAGAAAAGAGAATCAAGGGAAACTGGAATACACACACACACACATATGTGTGTTTATATATATAAAGTAAAAGTTTTTAAAAAATTATAAACAAAAGAATACAAAAAAATCCCTAAATATACTAATGAAATATCCTAGTTCACAAAAAAATAATCCATGAGAAACAACTGGCTTCAAAAATGCTACAAGTGAGAAAAAAAAAACCGAATATGAATATGTATAAATGTCCATGTACCATTAAGGACATAATTAAACAGAGAAAAAGAATTTTACAAAAATTTTGATGAAAAGTTAAAGAATTCTTTCCTTTGGAGTTCAAAATAGTCTCAGTTTCTCTTCTCAGCAGTTTTAGGTGAGGTCCTCTGGATTGCTGGAGTGATAGAGGTTATCCTGTAGGCAGAATTCCTGGAGGCAGGGTTAGGGTTAGGTGGGCTCTATGCTCTTCACTGAATGCCAATTGGTCTGGAGATTTTAAAGCAGCATACCTCCAGTGCCCAGTACTTGCTGATCCACACTGGAAGACTGTATTGCAGGGATCTCCCCTGGGTTCCACTTGTGTGGCTGGGGACCCAATTCTCGGTCCCCTATGTCTCTTTCAGACCCCTCTATTCCAGGTCTTGGGTTCAGTCTCAAAAAAATCTCCTGTCCCTGTCCTTCTGAGTTCCCAGCCAGATATGTCTCTCCCAGTGGGTCTCACAAGCAGTCAGATTGGAGGGGAGGGGTAGAGCTGGGTGGGTTTCCATGACCAGTTGTCCCCTGTGTAATCCTCTCTACATTTGATTTTCTCCCCGTCACTTAAGCACACTCTACCATGCAGTGTGTTTACTGGGCCAACTCGGGTTTGCCAGAAATCAGCCCCCTCAACCCCCACACAGCAGCTGCAAGTAGTTACTCTCTTTGTCCTCTGCACCCTGCCAGGAGATATGGCGGCCTCTTTCCTTGCACACTGATATTATGCAATGTGACTTTCAGGTTTGCCTGGTAATGTCCTTGATTTCTAAACACTCCATATCCAAGATATGGAGTGTTTAAAAATGCAGCTTCTGTTAATTCCCTTGTCCCTCTACTATGTTCACTGAGGGACCACTCTGGCTGGTGTTTCTGGCCTGGCAGCAGTGGCTGTGCCACTGGGGATTTCTTCCTTATTTTATTATATCCAACCTCCTGAGTCCCTAATCTGCTTTGAATGTCCCATTTTAAATTCCAGTAAAGTCCCCCCCACTTTTTTTTTGTTCACCCACCTTGCAGAGAAACTGCCTATCTGCTTTCTTGGTTTCATTCCACAGAGCAGATGGGAAAATGACCTCCTGTGCTTTGCCATCTTTAAAAAAATGAGTTTTTTGTTTGTTTTGTCATTGTTTTTTACTTAGCTCTGTAGTACGATTGTGATGCCTCCAGCATTGTGGG